CACACAATGCACTTGTACACGCAGCCCACTTGCACATGCACATGCATGCACACATGCCTATGCATGTGCAGCATGCACACACATGATTGTGCACGTACACGCATGCACTTGTACACTCAGCCCACTTGCACATGCACACACATGCACACATGTATATGCATGTGCAGCATGTACACACATGATTGTGCACGCACACAATGCACTTGTACACGCAGCCCACTTGCACATGCACACGCATGCACACATGTATGTGCATATGCAGCATGTACACACATGATCGTGCATGCACACACATGTGCACACAGTCTCTTGAGAGAAGTGAAGGGCACTCCAGCAGCTGGAGAGTCAGACAGACATGGGCACGTCCTCCAGTTTTAATCCAAACTTTTTGTCACACCACGGCCCATAGAGAAGCTAGCGTCTGTATAACACCTGGGCAGGTGGATAAGGAGAGAGGCGCCCAGCTGCTGTCTAGGAAGCCAGACTGCTTGAAGCACATATGCTCAGGAACAATCTTATCTATACAACATGGCAGTGCCCACAGTGTGGTTGTGGATTCTGTGTGAGGAGAGGGTCTAGCAGTATGAATAAAAGTGCCTAATACGTAGGGATTGGGCCAAGGAAAAAGATGTGTGTTGGTGATCCACTAAGACAACCTCTAGCTAAGGGTGCTAGCTCTTAACAGAGAAGCTCTGTTGTGCACTCAGGTGACCTATTGTCGCGTGCAAACCCCTCCCCTGCGAGGCCACCTCCTCACCATCAAAGAGAAGGGAAAGTCTCTGCAAACCCCCATCTTGTGGTCCCACCTCCACAATGGATGCTGGGCCACCTTCCTCCCCTCTTGTCGCTTCCCTCCATGAAGGTGGAGCCATGGAGCTGCACTTGCTGACCTCGGCACTGTACTGGGGTCCCCCTCCCTGCTTAGGGCTGGGCGGCATCTCCACGAGGCAGTGCCCCACCTCCCCAGCGCCCCGGAGCCCAGGTCTGAGTGCCAGGAGATGTGGGGCTGCAATCCCCCAGGCAGAAAGGGTCACGGTGTTTGTATTACCCGCCCTGGGGGATTAGGTGTAAGGGCCTGCTCCACTGGCTGCCCAGGACCCCCGCCACAGGCAGAAGCCCCCGGGCTGTGACCCAGCTGCCCCCATTCCAGGGGGTCTGATTTTCCCAGGGGCAGGGAGTGGAAAGTCCAAGATCTAAGCCAAGGGGGGCAGGCATGGGTGAGTCAGCTTGTGCCCTCCCAGGACTCGGTAATCGTCACTAAGAAAGGCTTTGCTGATGACAGTGTTTGCTGGAGTCTGTGTGTGCTTGGGAACCAGCAGCCTCTCCCGGACAGGCAGTGGGACACCATGAGCCTCAGTGAGGAACAGGTGCAGCAGTTCCTCGACCAGAACCCCGGCTTCTCGGACGAGTACTTTGGGAAGAAGCTGAGCCCCGAGAATGTGGCTGGCGCCTGCGAGGATGGCCAGCAAGCAGCCTGCACCAGCTTCCGCGAGCTGTGCCAGGTGGAGGAGAGTGCAGCCTTGTTCGAGCTGGTGCAGGACATGCAGGAGAACGTGAACATGGAGCGGGTGGTCTTCAAGATCCTGCGACGCCTCTGCACCATCCTGCACGCCGACCGCTGCAGCCTCTTCATGTACCGCCAGCGCAACGGTGTGGCTGAGCTAGCCACGCGCCTCTTCAGTGTGCAGCCCGGCAGTGTCTTGGAGGACTGCCTGGTGCCCCCCGACTCTGAGATCGTCTTCCCGCTGGACATTGGGGTTGTGGGCCATGTGGCTCAGACCAAGAAGATGGTGAACATCACGGACGTGACAGAGGTGGGCTCTGGGCCACAACAGGCAGGGTCGGCGAGGAGTCCCTACGGGTCCCATAGAGTGGGTCAGCCTGCGGGATCCGGGGGGGACCTCTGCTCTCAGGAAGGCAGCCTGGGGCAGGGGGGCAAGTGGGGTGGGCTGGGCCAGAGACTGCGGGAAGGAAGGAAGCCAGCCTGGAGGCAGCTGGGAGGGTGGTCTGGGCAGACCCTGCTGCCCTCTTGACCCACAGGTCCCTGGATGGAGGACTGGGGAGGAAGGGGTCAGAGCAGGGGCTGGTGCAAAGGCTCAGAAGGAAGGGCCAGTGGGCCCCAGAGCCCAAAACTCAGAACCCCATAGGAGACCCTGCTGCTTCCCGGCACTGGCAAGCTTGCGGGTTCGGGAGAAGCAGCAGGGAGACCAGGGCTGGCCCAGGATGGGCAGCAAGGAGAGACAGCAGTGCATGGAGCTGAGATCCGGCCAGGGGATGGCTGTGGCACTGGTGCCCTAGGAGTTCAAGAATCCTGGGGTGCAGACCGGGGTGGGTGGGGCTGGGGGATGGAGGTGCCCATTGGATACGGTGTGTGGGGGGGGACAGAGGCCCCCAAGGTGAGCATGGGGAGGAGGGGCTCCAAGAAGAAGGAGCAGAAAGGGTTGCTGGGGGAGAACAAGAGCCACCGGCTTCTCCCCTCCTCTCCCTTGCCCACCTCTGAGACGGGGAAGCAGGACCTGGACCAGCCTCTTCCACTTTTGTGAAGCAATCCAGAGGGGACTGCCACTGGGACGGGCTTCTCCTGGAACAGCCACTGGACCCTAGTCCCTGGAGACAAAGAGACACGTGCACATCCCCCCAGGCCCACTCTGGGGCGGGGGAAGGAAGTGGTTGCAATCCTCTTACATTTATCTGCTCTAAACAACCCTGGGTCCAGCGACCTGAATATAGTAATCTCTGGGATTAGCTTCATCTTCACTCCATTTTAAGAAATAGGTCACCCCATGCATCAGAATATCAGGAGCCTGAACTACCCGGAACAGAAGGGGATCCGGCGGCAGGGAGAGGGGCGGGGATATGCACTGAGCGGTTCTCGCTGCCCCTTCTCTCCCTGTATCTAGTCCCCTCTGTTCTCAGAGTCTGGGCTGGACCTCTCAGCCTCCAGGGCTCTGTCCTCCGGCTCCCCCCGACCCAAGCCTGTGCTGTGTGAGGGTCTGGTCCAGTTGGCATGGCTGTCCTAGGCCCTGTGCCCTTCCCCTCCCTGAGGCCTTGGCTTCTCGAGACCCTTCTACCTCCATCAGGACAACCCACTCTGATTTCTCCCCAGTGGGCGAGGGGCATATGTTGGCCTCAAGCCTCAGGGCTGATCTGAGTCTTGTTGATCTCAGATGCAGTGGAACTGAGAGCACGGTCAAAATCAGCCAAAAAACAAGTTTCCATTAAGTGCATCACGAAGACCTAAGCATTGCAAGTGTCATGTTGTCTTCAGAGGGGAGACTGAGGCAGAGAGCCTTGCTCCATCTGAGACTCCAGCACCTTCCTCGCTCTATGAGAAAAGCGTGGGGGGCTGTTTTGGGAGAGCGGTGTGTGCCTGGGGGACAGGGACCCCTTGCGGGCAGCAAGGAGGAAGACACCGCGGGGCTGCAACATCACCCCACCACCACTTTGCAGCTCTTAAGACCCCCGAGGGCTCATGGCAAGGCAGCTAGGCAGAAGGCGCTGGAAGGCTGTGGAGGGGACACGGCTCAGCCATGGCCACCGAGCGACTGAGCAGGACCAGACCCAGGTCCTGGCTCTGTGGTGGTGTCTGACCCCACTCCAGAGAGCTGTGGGCCCAGAAACAGCCCATCATGAGCGTCCTGCATGTTGCCAAGGCGTCCAGACCCCAGTTGTGGCAGCCAGCTGTTGTAGGGTCAAAGGAGGCTGAATTGGCATTAGGGACACAGCTTTGTGGGGAAGCTCTGGGAGCCAGGCCAGCTCAGAAGAGGGAGGAGGGCAGCATTACCAGGCTGGCCCTGCAGAGCACAGATGGGCCAGGAGGCAGGTGGGTGCAGCGGGTGACAATGATGAGGGTCTAGGCAGTAGGGGCAGGGTGGGGGCACTTTCGAGCAGTCACAGGACCCCTAGACCTACTGAAGCTGAGGGGGGACGGAGGTGCCAAGGTGACAGCAGGGTCCTTTCCATGGGGTGCTGGGTGGGTTCCAACCCCTGGAATGGGGAGCACGAGAGCATGGATGTTTGGGAATGAGGCTTAGGATGCAATGGGCCTGGGGTTGCTCCTACTCTTACACTGTGGTTACAGAGCTTCCGGGAGCCTGAGCGTCACCCACTGCCCTCAAGGTGGCTGGGGTCCCGAGCGAGGCTCTGGGACTGCAGGGTCTGATTCAGTAGAGAAGCCGGGTGGGAGCCTTGATATGGAGACAGTGGAGTAGAAGATGCAGGCAGGGCGCCCGAACAGGCACAAGCTATAAGGATGTGGAATGCAGGTGACCCCAGCCCTTGGGTGACTCTGTTCAGAGAGCACAGCTCCTGGCCAGAACCTGCTCTTGACCTTCCTGAGGCTCCCTTCAGCTTGCACCTAGCGTGTGGGAGACACACCGAGAAGCTAGAGCCACGGGCCACGGGGTGAAGGCCCCAGTGTGGTAGGAGCAAGCAGGGGTGTCTGGTCTGGCGTGGGGCACCTGGGAGCAGGGGGCACTGTGCAGGACCCCAGGTGGGAGCAGGGGAATGCAGCTGAAGGGCAGTAAGGAAAGTCTGGGGCAGAGCCGAGGGCCTGCCAGGAGATGGGGCTGTGTGGCCAGGACGGCAGAACCCCAGAGCAGCAAGCACTGGGAAGGTGACCAGAGAGCACAGACGTGGAACGTGGAGATGTGCAAACAGCCCTGAGCTCATGCATGTGCTCAGCCCCGGGGTGAGATTGCGCTCCTGCCGCCTCCAGGGATCCCGTGTTGATTTCCCTTTGACGCCAGGTGCCCTGTGGCAGCAGGTGACAGCCGCATCCCCATAATCAGGCAGGAGAGGCAGGGGACAGGTTGGCACCAGACACATGCACCTCTTCATGAGAACATGGACTGTTCTTGTCCCCAGCAGTCTTCTTCCGACCTCCCACTGGCCTGAACTGTGGCCCAGCTGCCCATGCAAGGGAGGCTGGACAGTGGCCGCTCCATCCTTGGGCTGCAAGGAGGCCGAGGCACAGAGAGGGCACGGGAAGTCATGTGGGGTCAGTCACACCTCTGTCTGCCACAAGACTGACAGTCCTTGAGTAAACCCAAAAGAGCTCCTTTAACAACAAATAATAATAACAAAATGTAGGGAGAAATTACAGGGATTTCCTCACTCAACCCAAGGTGACCAGGGAGGAGAGGGGCACAGGGCCATCCCGATCTTCCTGGAGGTCACACAGTGGCAGGTCCAGGCCCCAACCTAGGCAGTCCAACTCTGAGCTGTCCCCTTGGCCTCATGTAAATAAATATCAGCACCCAGGAAGTAGGAGGCTGGACTTGGAGTCACATCCACCCTGAACGGCAGAATCTTAGCCACTTGGAGGGGCCTCATCCTGGTAACACTCCATACCTGGGCCGAGACAAAGCCCAGCTGACCTGTTCCCTGTAGAAACAGAACTTAAGGGCCCCTCAACCAGCCCCCAGCCAAGGAGAGGCCCCAGGGAGCGACTCTAAGACTAGCAGGACCTGCCCTCGGGGCCACAAGTGGATTAATGCCTTATCATACGGGCAACGGGCCCCATGGAGCAGACGCTGGCTGGAGCATGGCCCCAGGAGACCCGCAGAGGACCCTCCACCCTGACTCACACTCACCCTTTATTCAGCTGACAGACTTTTGGGGAGGAACATGTTGGGGCTGGCCCGAGGGCAGGTGAAGGCAGGAGAGGGCAGCCTGAGCTAGGAGGGACTTATGGACAGACAGATGGGCGACTCCAGAGGTACCCAAGAAGGTGGCTTGGCCAGATGACAGCAGGTGTGGGAGGGCCCAGGCCTGCCACAGCCCAGGCCTTGTGAGGACTCAGCAAAGTCTGTGATCGAGGGCTGGGGTTAGTGGCTCTGAGTGGGGGGATAGAGGCTGGAGCCACAAGGACAGGCCATGGGCCATGTGCTCTTATGCTTCCTGGGCTCCTGATGCCTGGGGCAGGGCCACCTGGGGCTTAGCACTGGCCTGGGCGGTGGCTTCCGTGGAGCTTAACCCTGCCCCCCACTGGGTCGGGGGGAGCCAGGGCTCCAGGTCTACAGACTGATGGCCTCTCTTTTCTCTCCTCTTGCTGCCCAGTGCCCCCACTTCAGCTCCTTTGCTGATGAGCTGACCGACTACGTGACAAAGAACATTCTGGCCACACCCATCATGAATGGCAAAGATGTCGTGGCTGTCATCATGGCCGTGAACAAGCTCAACGGCCCATGTTTCACAAGTGAAGACGAAGACGTGAGTGTTGGGGGGCCTTCTGGGCGTGCACGCCTCTGTACGTGGGCCAGCTCTGTCCCCGGTCTGTCCTGTGCTGGCGGGTGGTGCGTGCTCCCTTGAGGCCTGTGTGTCCCTCTCCTGTGCTTGGTTCCATGAGCTCATCTCTGTGTCTCTTGCACACCTGTGTGTGTCTGCACACAAACAGGCCCGTGTGCGCTGACCTCGGTGCTGGGCGTGGGCCCCGTTCCAGGCGGCTGCGTGCCTCTCCACCCTTGCACACCTGAGCACCTTCTGAAAACCGGAGTTTCTAACTACTGTTGCTGTAATTCCTGTTTCAGGTTTTCTTGAAGTACCTGAATTTTGGCACATTAAACCTGAAGATCTACCACCTGAGCTACCTTCACAACTGTGAGACCCGCCGCGGCCAGGTACCTGTCCCGCCCCAGCCTCCCTGCCCTCCGGGACGTCCGAGTGTGTCCAGGCCTCTGTGCTGGTCTCTCTGGACGAAGACAAAGCTCAGCCTGGGCAGGTGCAGGGCCGGCAGCTGCTGGGGTTCTTGGGCTTTTGTGGCTGTGGTGTTGTGAGGGCGCCCGCTGCAGGGGCAGGGGGGCAGCATCAGGACACCATCGTGCAGCTGGGACCCCATGAGAGGTTGGGTCTCTCATCCCGTCTGCCCACCCTGACTCACCCCCAGCCCAGGTGGGTGTGAGCACCCACCCAGAGGCACCACCCTGCCTTCGAAGCCTCATCAAACTCTCTTCGGGAGGAGCTGGGCTGAATGATGAATGGACAATGGGGACAGAGGTTCTGCCACTAGGTGGCTGAGTCCCCCGGTGTGTTCGGCCCCTAGCTGCGCAGGATAACCATTGCTTCCAGGGCTGGAATCTGCTTCCCCCCCTCACCTCCCCGCTCAGCGAGGAGGGTGTGGGCCTGATGGGAGTAAGGTGGGGCCTTGTGTTTTGGGAATGGTACAGAGCTGACGGGCACGTGAGGTAGGTCCCCTCTGTGTCCTCCTGCCTCAGTCTCCAGCCCACTGGAGGACTAGAAGACAGTGAGTGGGCCCTGGGAGAGGACAAAAAGTCCCTCTGGGCCTGGGACTGGGAAAGCTGTATAAGATGTGGCCTTTGGGCTAAGCCTTAGAAGATGTGGAGAGTGACATGGTCACTCCCCGCCCTCCCTGCTTTCTGTTCCGTCTGCAAATGCTGTGTGCATCCTGATCACCTGCTGTAAACTTGCTTAAAATGATGAGAGGTTCCTCTGCTCAGCTCAGCATCTAGAAAGGCTATTTCGGTGCCCCCTCCTGACCCATGGGCTGTAGAAGGAGCAGCCTGAGCAGGGGGTCTGGGATTCCCTGAGGTTATCTCTTGACCATAGGCCAGCCCCACTGACTGGGGAGGAAAAAAAAGCCTCTGAGAGAGATACCGCCCACAGGCCATGGTTGTGCCGCAGGGCAGTGGGAGGACCCCTGGGGGAGGACAGGAGGGTACCCTGGGCAGAGGGAAGAACATGGCCTGAGGCCTTGGATGAAGTGATGGCACAGTGGGGGTTGGTCAGACAGGGCTCAGGGCCAACTGGGGAGCAGTGAAGGTCTGTGAGGCCGGCCTGACACATGAGACTGGCTTCTAGAAAGGCCTCCAGGTGCACTGTCCTGTTTGGGGGGAAGTCACAGTGAGCCCCACACTGCAGGAAGAGGGTTCTCCACTGGAGATATGTCTCCTTTCACCCTTTATCAATTTATATTATCATTTGTTTACATCCATCTGGAGTCATGGGTGTTTAGGTTATAACCCTGGTCAACTTGATTGATTTTGTCATTCAGTCTGTTCTGACTGTAGCCACTGGGAGCCCCTCAGTGGGCTCCCCTGCCGTCTGACATAACCCATCAACTCATCACTCTGGGTGTTTTCTGTGTGTTGGGTTGGCGGATGGGTAGGTTTGCTGGTTTCCGGCAAGCGGGGGGACGGGTTGCACATGCCGTGCTTTCTGTCACAACCAGACGCTCCAGACTCATTTGTGTATTTCCTGTGTGGCCCTGGAATCAGCAGTCCCTCAAGGATCTCCGCTGCTTTAATTGGGGAACGGTCCTAGAAGCAGCGACCTGGGCACTGGGTGTGCTCTTGGCTACTGGGGTGTCGGAGCAAGGGAATGCATGTGCACCTGCTAGCCTGTGCACAGAACATCTGCACATCTACATGTACACGAACCCGTGTGCAGCTAAACTTGAGTTCCCACTGGTGTCTCCACATGGATCATTCTGGCTTCCCCCGCTTGCTGGCATGCAAGTTTCCACTCCAACAGTGAGATAGATACCTGGCTCCCATCATCCACCACTCATTTACTTAAGTGTTCAATTCCAGTGTATGTGCACAGCAAGAACAGAATTGTTAACCCGTTCCCCATGGGAAGACAGTGTTCACGGGCAGCTTCTTTTGTCTTTAGTCTTACAGACTCTGCTCATTTCCCAAAATACTTCAATCAGCACCTTTTCTCCGCCTCCTTCAGTGAGGTGGTTTCAAGTGTTACAGTTTGATTCTCTTGTCAGAGTCTGCATTCTTTCGTGGAATCCCCCAACCTGCGAAATGACTGTTTCATTGGCACACATTAAGGTTCATCATTTGTGCTATAAATTTCCATAAGCCCAACAAATGTATCACGACAGGTAACTACTGTATCCTACAGAATAATTTCCCTGCCCTAAAAATCCCCTGTGCTCCAGGTGTTCATCCCTCCCTCCCCACCTCCACCGAACGGCTGGCAACCACTGATCTTTTTGCTGTCTCCACAGTTTTGCCTTTTCCAGAATGTCATAGAGTTAGAACCATGCAGTGTGTGGCTTTTTCAGATTGGCTTCTTTCCCTCAGTAAAATGCATTTAAGATGCCTCCATTCCTTTTAATGGCTTGATAGCTCATTTCTTTTTAGTGCTGAATAATATTTCGTTGTCTGGATGGACCACATTCACCTATGAAAGGACATCTTGATTGCTTCCAGTTTGGGGCACTTATGAATAAAATTGCTAGAAACATTTGTGTGCAGGTTTGTGTATATGTATAAGTTTTCAATTCAGTTGAGTATATACCAAGGAGTGCAATTGCTGGATAATATGGTAAAATTGTGTTTAACTTTCTGAGAAACTGCCAAAAAGCAATGGTGTCATTTTGCATTCCCATCAACAATGAATGAGAATTCCTATGGCTCTCCATCCTCATCAGTTTTTGGTATTGTCAGTGACTTGGATTTTATTCATTCTAATAGATGTATCTCATTTTTGTTTTAATTTACAATTCCCTAATGACAAATACTATTGAGCATCTTTTCATATACTTATCTGCCATCCATATATCTTATTCTTTGGTGAGGCGTCTGTTCAGATCTTTGTCCATTTTTAAATTAGTCTTCTGTTTTCTTATTGTTTTAAGTTTTTGTAAATTTTGGATACAAGTCCTTTATCAGATGTGTGTTTTGCAAATATTCTTTCCAAGGGTATAGCTCGTTTCTTCATTCTCTTAACAGTGCATTTGGAAAAACAGAAGTTTTAAATTTTATTTTATTTTTTTGAAGATTTTATTTATTTATTTGACAGAGAGAGAGAGAGCCAGAGAGGGAACACAAGCAGGGGGAGTGGGAGAAGGAGAAGCAGGCTCCCAACTGAGCAGGGAGCCTGATGCGGGGCTCGATCCCAGGACCCTGGGATCGTGACCTGAGCCGAAGGCAGACGCTTAACCGAATGAGCCACCCAGGCGCCCCAGAAGTTTTAAATTTTTTTTTTAAGATTTTTATTTATTTGCGACAGAGAGAATGAGAGACAGAGAGCATGAGAGGGAGGAGGGTCAGAGGGAGAAGCAGACTCCCTGC